GGCTTCACAGTTGCAACAAGGAGCACAGATTTTTTTTCTATTTTAAAAAGTCCAGTGAGAGGAAACCTTAAAAAAAAATTTTATGAGATGTGCCGAAGACAGCGATTTTGGTAAAATCTCATAATTTTGAGTAGTTTAAGGACCGTTAGAAAGTTGTAAATCCAACATTTCTTTGTATTTTTACAGTTTCTGACAGACAAATTTAAAGAAACAACATGTCCATCAAACCCATCGGCCGGTTTTGGGGTTCAGAGGTTTAAAGCAGTACAAAAAGCTTAATTCTGAGATATTCTGTTGGGGTGTAAATCTAAATCACAACTGTAACACAACTGATTGTGCAGCTCAGTCCTGCTGGGCTGTTCACAGGTTACCCGGTCGTCTCTTGTTGTCTCCTCGTGGCGTCTGATTGTTCGCCTCAACGCGCGGCGTTTACAGTCACTTCCAGAATTAGAGCTGGCTTGTTTACGTCGTTCATCTCGACTCATTTCCTCCTCGCCGCCGGCTCTCGCTCGAATTTCCTTTTTTTTTTTTTGGCACCATTTCATTTCATTTCCTTTCCTTCCATTTTCTCGCGAATTAAGCTCTTTGGCAATCACTGCGTAAGTGTAGGAGTATTGCATTCGCAGGCTTTTTGTGCCCAAACGTGTGAGGACGGTAATCATAAGGCCTCGTGAAATGGCTGTTTTCCAAAAAAAAAAAAAAAACTGTCTTTGATTTACAGGAAGACTTAAACTCGTCCTCCACCTGCAGTGGACGCAAAAAATCAGAGGCTCCTCCAGCCGCCACTTACCTGCTTCTACTGTGCCGTCGCTCCATTCAGTTTGAGAAAGGTCAGGGTATTAAAAATGATAGCTTCATGTGTCAGCGCTGGAGAAATCCTTTTAAAAACTTTTTCTTCACAAAAAGAAAAAGTGCCTTCATAGTCAGGGGAAAAAAAAGTCGACCGCGCTGTCGTCTTCAATTTGTTAAAAAAAAAAAACTTCTTTATGGTTACAGGACACTTTTCTTCTTACTTTCCTTTTAAAAGTTGTTCCTGAAGAATGGCAGGTTGTCTTCCAGACATGGTATTTCAAAAAGCAGCTTCCTCTGCTCTCACTGAACAGTTTTGAATTCAGACGACCGGCGACTTATAACAGACGTTGTTCTTTTTCCTCAGAGTTCAGCTGCTTCTCCTGCCGTTTCCCTACCGAGGTTCTTACCTTCTGAGATCTCGTTGGTTTCCTCGTTGGCGCCGCTGCTTTGTCTCTTTTGGGACTGAGTCATTTCCACAGCTGATTGCTGAGCTGGAAGGAAAAACACATAATAAAACAGTAATAAGTGGCGGGAGAAGAGCTCCACAGTGTATAAGTAGGGGTGTAAATAGACCTTAATTTTGTTAACTATTAAATTATCATCAAATATTGAGATTCTCCGACTATAGATTTTCTCTGTTTATTCCTCTGCTATGACAGTAGAGACATGGGGAACAAATAAAACAGAATATTGCCAAAATTGAAACAACAGATAGCATCAGCCATAATAAGAAATATTAAACTATGACTGTATTTAAACATTTATGTAAGAAACAAGGCAAAATTCTGTAACTGAAAGACATTTGAGCACAGTTTGATTTAAGTTAAGGTTTGAATAAGTCTGTGAAGACTGATGGTTTGTATTGTAGTACAGCCTGCTCCTTAATAGTTTATTTATTTGTACACCATCAGTCAGTGAATCACTCAGTTGAACTTCTGCGGTAGGAGTGAAATCAGTTTTCCAAAAATTCCAAAGACACCAGATAGAGCTGCATATTTACTGGAATATAAGTTATGATTTTAGCTTCCCACATATCGACATTTAAAATACGTTGCTCACAGGAAATTCATTTCATACAAAAAAAGAACATAAGTCACTTAGGTTCTGTTTGGGTAAATCTGACTTTAGTGCACCTTATTTCACTCTTCAAGTTCATTTTTAGTCTCAGATGTCTGAGTTTTGCAGTAAATGTGTGGAGACTAGAGGCTTCTCTGTGCACAACTGTCTACTCATGCATGTGTGAGACGTTTAGGGAACACTGGTTAACTGTTGTGTCAATTGAAAAGCAGATGTTAAACAAGTGAAGCATTTTGGGTACAGTTTCATTCATATTTTGGCTCTGATTTCAGGTGAAGATGATCTGAAGTCTTATTTTGAAGTAGACTTGTACATTTGTAGTAAAAAAAATAGAAAGAAAAAAAAATCTAATTAATGAATAATCCTGATCTCAACATGCATCAAAACAACTGTGATTATCATTCTGGCTATAATCAAGCAGCCCTATCATCAGAGGGTTTGCACTATGAAGCAAGAGTAATGGATTAGCAGGTACGTTGAGCCTAAAACCAGAGTTGAACAGTCAAATGTTAAAAACCTTGTTTTACAGGAGCACACTTGGAGCCCGATGAAGAAAAACAGGATAACAAAAAAACTGATAACTGTTGTGACTCCCATTGTCTCTGATTGGTGTGTGTGCGTGTGTGTGTGTGTGTTGAGTATGAGTGTGATATTGTTTGTTTGTGCGTGAGGGAAGGGTGGGAATGATTTTAAGGTGATTTTAATCTGTAAAGCACTTTGAATGACATTATTGTATGAAAAGCGCTTTAGAAATAAAGATTGACTTGACTTGATTGGAGCTCAGGTTTAGTTAAACTGGGCTTACACAAACAAAGCCTGGATCATAGTACACCCCTCAGGCCGACCCTGTTTTGACATTTTAGCTTAGCTTGACTTCTAATGTTGAGCTTTTGGTATCAAAACCTTGAGCAGCTGCTCCACATCGTTTCACTCAGCGGTGCAGCACCAACGTATACGAGCACATAACACTGCTTCTTTCGCTTTGAGGAGCAGATTGATACTCTAAATGCTGAGTCAAAGGGCTTTTTCTACTCCGACATAAATATAGGAAACACCTGTGGATGTGTGCATTCACAATCCTCCTTAAAAGCTCTGCGTGCAGCGCTTCTGTTTTCCTGAATCGCAGCACGACGAGCAAATACCAGCAGGCTGCTGAATGTCAGCCACCGAAACTAAGTAAACAGTTGGCGTACTTCTGTATTCAAAACCACAACGCCGAGCCGAGGCGTGCTGCTGCTGTTTGATTTCTTTGCTCCACTCGTGTTTCTTCTCCGTCTTGCGGCAGCGGCACAGCATGAGCGGCATTAGGCCGAGGTGTTGCTGAACGCCGGAGGTCAGCTTTGAGATACGACTTTCTCACATGGCCCCGAGTCACGAAGTGCACCGCTGCTGTCCAACTTTTTAAAGCCTCTTGTGGCCACACCCCAATCAGTGATGTCACAGCAGGCTTCGTGCCAATCACAGCTGATGGAGCAACACCCGCTGCGACATCACTGATTGGAGCTGCAATTTGGTGCCACATCGCAATCGACCGGGCAGCAGCTTTCTGCCGTGTGTGAGTCAACATGGAGGCCACCTGTCACATGGAACACGTTGTTGATCTTACAGTTACAGCAACTTTTAGTGACATTGTGCGTTGTCCTTTTCGTAAAGCTCCAATCTGAAATCAGCATTTCTCACACTGACCCTTCAGAAACCCACTGAGAGTGAATGATCAGGAGGAACAACACCATCCTGCAGATGTGTGGAGAAAAGTCTGACGAAGCAGAGGAGCTGAGAGCGGACCTCGAAGATGAAAGAAGACGTATAAAACCCAGATGGACGAACCAGAAATAAACTGGTTTTACTTGCTGTGTTACTTCTGGGGTACAAATCAAATTAAATCAGATTTTATGTTCTTATCCTGGTTTTTATCCCAGAGATTTATTTTATTTCCCTAAGGTTTTTAACAGTTTTATTTATCTTGATCTTATTTATTTTATCTCATCTTCTTACTTCCTTGCTGTTATATTGATGAATGGCGGAACACTGAGCACTTTTTCATCTGGTCTGTTTTGTCTGGTCACTTGATCTGCCTTTCAGCTTCAATGTATATTTTGTTTTGGAATGCTAAATGCTATCATTTGCAAAACAAATCCACCCACGGGTATTAATAAAGCAACCTTGAACCCTAAAATCAGTTGATCATCGTAGCCACAAATGCATTTACAGGAAAAAACAAAGGGCAAAGAATCTAAGTTTAATCTCAGTGGAAGGATCTTATCTACTATTTAATTTACATTAATGATTATATACTCTATTTAAGCTGTAAGATGATGGGAGCATGCAAAATGTACAAAGCATATTACAGATTCCATATGAAGGATAGCAACAGTTTGATTCATTCCTCTAGTTGATATATTCAGGACAAACTCGACTGGAGACATTTCTCATCATTGAATCTTGCATCTTTTTTTACCTTCATGTTTGGCCTGAAGAGGCTTGCTCTCCTTTCCCCCTCTGACTGCGATGATCTTAAAGTTGTATTCTTTCGACGGGTCAAAGTTTTCGATGATGAGCTTCGCGTCCTGCTTTGATACCTCGACCACCTTCTGGCCTTCACCTGTTCAAACAGAGCAAACACTCAGCAGCTGCAGTCTGACGATCACAGAGAAGAAACACTTGCTGCTTTGAATCGTGAGCCACACGCAGGAATCTTTCGAAGGGTTCATTTAATTGTCATCCAGTTTTTGCAGCCTCCCGTGTTGTGTGGAAGCCAGCATCTACAATTAGCTCGCACTGAAACGAGCTGCTCATTAGATTTGTGAACTCCAAGCAGTTTTTTTTTGGCAGTTTTTTTGCTCTGGTTACATTTTTACTCACTGTGGGTTCAAGTCTTGCACCTCTATGGAAACAGCA